CTTTATTCAAAACGTACAAATTGATTCTCATTTTTTCAAATGGCTATGTACATTGTACACTCAAGCCTGCAAATTTTATATGGGAGCATCTGATATGGGAGTATCTCAGTTGCTGAGACAAGAACCAACATGTTCAAGTTTGGACCAGAGTTCAGTTGGCCAGTAACTGAACAAAAATCTCAGCCAGAGCTGCAAGTGATTTTATTTGACAATTTATAGCCATATTTATAGCCATTCCTATATAATACAGTTTATATATAGTACAATTTATACTCTGCCTGGCATATATTTTCCAGGTTTTAACCTAAACTGAGATCCATTGGTGAGTGGACCCCTACAAACGATCTTATTTACTATCAACTGCACACTGGCACACAATAGTCAAGAATGGAAATTATCAAGCCATCACACCATTGCCCAGAAACCCATGTAAAATTGTGTTACCAGGTCATTAGTGCCCACAGCACCATGTCGGCTTCTCCTGGCACCCTTTCAGCACCCTCATGCCACTTTCAACTTATCGCCAAAATCATTACAAGCTCACTGTGAATGATTCAATGCTTCCATGTAAAGTGGGGGAGAATGACGATTGGTTGAAAACACTAGCAAAGGTTATGTTGCTCTTGCAATGAATGGAAAAGAGGCCTCAGCTTTATATGACATGATGTTAAATTGGTACATAAGTTTCTTGACAAAATACTGATTTCTTTGACATCCTAAATCCCTCTTTTAAAGATTGTAGCACATAGTAATTTCATGCATGTCTTCACACCTGTAAATAAAAGTTTATACTCAGCAAATCTGACAAATCATAGAATAGTATGAAATTCAAGCATGTTAAATTAATAAATTTGACCCTTTGCGTTTGCCGTTTGCGGTGAAATATCTCTACATTTGTACGAAAATACTTAAATAATCGTGGCTAAAATATTCACTATATTGTACAAAGCTTCTCATGCTAAAAAATAAATTCATATTATATGATATTGTTTTTTGTATTTTTACCTGGCTGTACTGTATAAATAGCTGCGCCTCTTGCTTCAAATATCGTCTTTGCCAACATTTTGCACGGCGTTTGTTGTCTTTCCCGGACGTTTATGACTTGTACTTCTTTGAATAGATGGTCGCAGGTCGAAAAATATGTAAAAATATCAAAACAACCAGAATTCACTGCAAAAACTCGAAAAACCTATAAATATTTCTGAAAAAACCAGGGGGGGTGAAAACTGTAGTGGGCTCAGAAATGAGCCTGGTCAGTGGTATTTTCATGGCCAAAAGGAACCAGTTGCCATGGAAATGGCGTGAAAATCCGCCATGTTTTTGGCTTCACTTTTTTATCCCGAACACGTCCTCCAGTAATAGTGAGCTTAAGCAAGTGACGTTTTTGACAACACGGACGTCGACCGGAAGTAAAGTTGGCGTTTTTCACCAATCACAGCCCTTGACCCAGTCTTCTGACGTTACTCATGCCGTTCGTGTTGTCAAAAACGTCACTTGCTTAAGCTCACTAATATAGTATAGCTCAGTGGTGTACACATCCGAAGAGTTTTAAAAACCTTTCACGTCATGCTTCTTGCGAAAGCAACCGTTCGTAAGCTTTCGCAAGCGTTTTGAGCAAAAACTCTAAAATATTGGCAGTATTGCCTGAAAATACAATGGCAGAATCTACTAAATTATCGTATAACATCGGAATTTTACCCCCAATATCTATTTCTTCATCAAAACTTGACTACAAACCAGTCAAAACTTCCAGCTCAGTTTTCCCGCCATATTTATCCTTGCCATATAAGACAACGTCGCCATAGTAACCACAACAAACTCGTTACCAGTTCATTGCATCACACATCGATCGGCGCGCCTATAGCCGTTTCACCGCCCTCCATATAAGCGCCCTGACTCGCAGCGAGGAGCTTCGTGCGAGGACTGGAATTGCGCCCTAAAGAGGCAATTACAATGTCAAGCGCCTCAACTCGTTCAACACTTGATAACGTGTCTGGGCTAAAAAAGACAACAGCCATGCCTGGGCTCTGTCAAACTCTACCATCCAAACTCTACCATCAGCTGAACGTATCTATCATCTCATGATCCCAACTATCATCCTGTGACCCCAACTATCATCTTGTGATCCCAACTATCATCTTGTGATCCCAACTATCATCCCAGGTTAGAGTACAGGGAACTAAGTGATTTAGTCACTTTGGCGCTGCGCGTCTCACTTAGTTTCCGAGCTCGAAGAAAATAACTCTTACTTATGATTTTCCATGAAACGTATAAGAGAGATAACAGAGAATATGGCAGCAAGAATAAAAGCACCGATGAACGAACCTAAACAAAAAAACGTTATAAAATGTATAAGCCTCGGCAGGGTTGAAAAATATGTTGCATTTTCTAAAGAATATATTTATAACAACCGACTTCAGTATAAAGACATCGGCAATAAAATTTCTAGCTGGTCTTGTTAGAAAGATCGAGTTCGCGCCGTGGATTCATGATAACGCTCTACTGAAAATCCACAGTAAGCCGGAGTGAACCCACAAGGAATGTTGAGGATGGGGGGATAAACACCACCCTTCCACCGCAGGGCTGTGGAAGAAATCACCATAGAGAAGGACATATTTCCAAGAACATTCAACAGGGGTGTTTTTTTTTTGGGGGGGGGAGAGATTGAAAGGTCATAAGATAAACAACACATAGGGTTTTACAAGTTATTTTCTACTAGATAAACAAACTTTTGCTGCCGGTATCCTTTAAATATAATACAGAAAAACATAAAATAGATATTCTAAGACAACTAACCAGCTAACCCCCGTCGACCCTTGGTTAAAGGAGAATCAGCAACTTTATTAAGTTCGTCCAGGTACAAACTTGCAAAATACACACCAGCTAGTGAGATCTATAAGGGAAAAACTAATATTACAAATTTAACAAATACAATAATCAACTAATAACAAACAACACATGAAAATAACAACAGTACGTCTTTTAACATGCAGCACGAGATTGGAATACTAAGACTACGAACAGAGTTACACTTTGGACAAATGGTTTTGTATGAACGAGGATCGTTGACATTGTAACAAGTTCTTAATGACATAGAGTAATAATTAAAAATAACAGTTTTAAATGTAGAGAGGCCACATGTGTCCAGTTTTAGTTGATCGGCGAGAAGGTTACAGATCCGAGTTGATCGGATAAAGAAGGATCTTTGATAGGTGGATGTCTTCCATTTTGGAATGACATATTTGGTGGAAGTACTGGTGGAAGATCTGGTTTCTCTGGAAGTGCGGATGGTTGGAAGGAGAGATGCATTTATGTGTACAAGTCCATGGGTTATGCAAGCATAAGTTGGCAAGTAGTTCATTACTTCACATTTATTATTCGTAAACAAATAACAAAGATTTAATTTCACATAAATTATCGTATCAAAACACCCAGAAATTATGGGTGTCTGTGACCAGCTGATCCCAGGGCTATTTTCGCCGACCATCAGCCGTGGAGGCAAAATGCCCTGGGGACGAGGTCGAAATTATGCCTAACATTGTCCTTATAATCGATCATAACATTCTTATATCGAAATTATCTAACTATGGCATAATGAATCCACATATTGTAAGCTGGATCTGTGACTTTTTAAGCAACAGATCACAGAGAGTTAAGCTGGCCAACGACTGTCTCTCCGAATGGAAATCAGTACCTACTGGCGTCCCGCAAGGGACCAAATTAGGTCCCTGGCTTTTTCTAATGATTGAGGACCTAGAAATTTTATCATCGGACGGTATATGGTCAAATTTGTTGATGACACGGCGGCGTACGAGATTATTCCCAGAGATCAATCCAGCTCAGCACAAAAACTTGTGGACGAAGTTGCCACTTGGTCATCTGTTAACAAATTTCAACTACACCCAAACGACGATCTTCTGATTGATTCACTTATTATTGAAACAATTAACTCACTTAAACTCCTTGCAGTAACACTCAGTAAAGACTTAAGATGGAATATACACATTGATTCATTAATCAAGAAAACATCTAAAAGATTGTATTTTATCTCTCAACTAAAACGGGCCAAAGTATCTCCTGAAGACCTGATCAAGTTTTATGTTGCTTGTATACGTTCTGTTCTCCTTTATTTATGCTTGTCAAGTTTATCACTATAACCTTCCTGAGTATCTAAATAAGTCCTTAGAACAAATCCAAAAGCGGGCGATGAAGATCATTTACGGATATGATACCTCGTAGAATTCCGCCTTCAAGCAAGCGGGAATTAATAACTTTCTGACTGCAGACAACAGTTATGTGATAAGTTTTTTTAGTAAAGTAATCGCGAATCCTGCAGACCGACTCCACGACCTTGTTCCACATCTCAGGAACGTAAGACCTTTTACTATTCCAATATGTAAAACCAATCGATTTAAAAAATCCTTTTTAATATCTAGCTCTCTTCACTACAAGAAGAATATTCTTAATAACTCATATTATGAATAAATTTTAAATAGTAGATTATATTAAATTACCTTTGTAAATAATCTAATACCTTAATAATTCAGCTTACTAGCTGCAAAAAGGTTTTCATCAAACTATCTATCTGTCCGTCCGTCCGTCCGTCCGTCCGTCCGTCTATCTATCTATCTACAGAGCGTTTCCGTGTGACGTTACGGCCGCCATATTGGTGTTGCTGAACAAAATAATTTTAATTAGATTCTTTTGCCAGAAACAGTCACTAAAGTAATAATTCGAATCCGACTATGAGGACTGGACTAGATTTCAAGTCCGCGTAATTTGATCAATGATGATGTGCAGTTGTGTGTTATTAGTGTGGGTGGATCTCAAATTTTGTTGAATATTTACGTCATCGTTTTCAAAACGTTCCGGTGTCAAGCGAATTCCTGACCTCTGCGAAATGACCAAGCGTGACGGGTCAGAAATTTCGCGCGTACAGGTGCGAAATACATGACGCTTGCTAAATTCTAAGCCGGCCAAAACTGTTTTGTAGAGTTTAGATAAAATAATCATGATGTCAATTTCTAATACTTCGTTAAATATTTCAAATCGACATCGCTAAGTTTCAATCACAAACACTTTAAATTTCAAAGCGAATTGTGTAGTCGTGACCGCGAAATACACGACGTTTGCTAAAAACGATTTTTAAGTCCATATCACTCATATGCTATGTTGCCAAATGTTTCTAATATAGACATCGCCAAATCTAAACGGCCAACTGACGAACTCATTGTTGCTGCTTACTAAATAGTGAGAAAGTCAAGCGCGAAACGATTTCTGGTGCTTATAGTATAGTATAGTAATGCATATAGCATAACCTTTGAAACTGGAGTCTATTAATATCACTAAGATCGCTTTTCGAATGATGTTTTCCATATCTGCAATTCAAGCTTTATTATCGCTGAACGCTAACGTTCACAATCAGTGGTATAGTGTCAATTCAGTTGATCAATGGACGACTTGCGCTTTAGAAAAATTTTTAATCTGGGAATAACAAAGGATATTTTCGGAAAGAAGTTATCAGAATTAGAAAAACTGCAAAGTTTGGTTGCAAAATGTTGTAAAATACGGAAAATATAGCCCTGCAAAGTTGGCAAATTTGTATACATTTCTATTGCGTGCGGAAATTGGTGACTAATTTAGTTACCAATTCACGCACGTAATACAAAAGTATACAAATTTGCCAACTTTGAAGAGCTATATTTTCCGTATTTTACAACATTTCGCAACCAAACTTTGTAATATTACTAATTCCAAGACGCTGTTTCTAGCTGTGGTGATATATTTCGTTGTTCTTACTTAGATTAAAATTTAGTCTAAAGCGCAAGTCGCCCATTGCACAATTGATGTTGGAAAATTCATGTATAAATGAAATATTTGACTTTATAAATACACGTGTTGTCTGTTGAGTTGCGAAATTTATGAGCCAAAGTCATTCATGCGCATCGTCTGCGCATGGGCAGTTCTACAATAGTCAGATATTTCGCAAGCCAGGGGCCGGTTGTATAAAAAAGTGATTAAAGTTAACTATGATTAAGTGCAAACATCATCCAATAAAAAGCGCGTACTCGAGAGTTAATCACTATTTAACTACAAAATAGTGATTAAAAAAGTGATTAAGAGTTTTATACAATCGGCCCCAGGAATTTCGCGTCACACCGGTTACAATTCGTGCACACGTATCCAGATTCGTTGCGTTTTCACTCTGGAGACCGTTTTCAGAAGTTTGCGTTTTTGTCAGATACGCGTGAACGAAAGGCGTATTCGCAACCATATGTTTACAGTACGTGTGGACGAGGCCTAATAAGGCAGTATCTATTGTAGTCGTGTCCTCATTAGTATTTTTTATATAAAGAATACTAACTAGAAGTTACTATCGCAAGGAAAGTGCTGCCTTACAACCAAAGCCCTGGGGAGTGATTATACCTATAAAATTCATTTATCACACTGTATGTATGAACAATTTATTTTGTTTAAAAAAAATCGAAATTACAACATGCAATAATTACTACATGTGATTGTTGGTACCAATGTTTTAAACCGTCTTCACTTGTCAAAACGTCTAGAAGAACACAATTAGGAAGAACAAACATATGGTCTTTAAACGTGATATGACTAGTTTGTTGTAAGTTAAATTTTCATATTCTTTCAAAGTAATGACAGTCTACTATATTTTCCATTTGATAACCAAGTGTCACCATTGGTTTTTTTGTCCAATATGTAGATGTTTCGTATTTATTTAGCATGTACAGGTAGTGTCCATTGTTGGTCATCATTATTGTCCAATATTGATGTAAAACAGGTTACTGTACATAGAGGTATGTGATATCGTGACATACAATGTTCCTGACATCCATATGGTATAGATTGGAAACAAGTATGGTAATTTAATACATGGCAGATTCCATCCAATTGCATTATAGATGTAGTATATCCATACATAACATTTCTGTTAATCCAGAAGCTACCATCCATTTTCATGTGATGTATAATATATCCATATTATATTTGGGCTGTAACAACAATTTGGTTTCATCCAGCAGTTAACATGGCACCATTCACATCCATCAGAATTGCAAAACTATAGAAAAAAATTGGTAGCATGAGATATTTATGTGGAAACATAGTAGCACATAAATTAATTAAAATGAAAGTAGGGCAGGGGGAGGGGCTAAACAAACAAAAAACTTACCATTCTTTTGTCTTGCAAATCATAATATTTTCATACATACAGTGATAACAAGGACTAAAGTAGTTATTATATAAATTAAATTACTGAAAAGGGTATATAGTCAAAGTACATACCAAACTATAACTGGGATCCATGTATGAAATCCCTCTCTTATTCAACCTCAATATTAGTTTGTTGTTCTGAATGCACTGCTAGTAGCCTGTGCTAACTGATCTAGCCTGTTTTCTTCTTCAAGCCTATATTGTAAGTTGGCTGACGATTTCAAGCTTGTTAATCGTTCATACGTCATTGGTTCAATGACACAAGACGCAAGTGATTTTACTCTGCTAATAGCAACATAAGAAACTCCAGCAGTTCTTTCAGATTTGCCAATATCTATCCATGCTTTTGGAAGTGTGAGTCCTTGGCTCTTGTGTATTGTTAGAGCCCAAGCAAGCCTAAGAGGTAACTGTTGCCTCTCATGGAAACCTATTTCTGTCTGTGATGCGACAGTGATTGGAATTATTGGGATACACAATGGTTGGTTTTCATTAAAAACAGGTCCTCTATAGTTTTCAAATTCTACTATTATCGCAATAGGTAAGTCAGGAGGTTGATGGTTGTTCTGATAGATAATATCAACAACTGTGCCAGTAGCCCCATTACAGAGGCCAACACTTGACCACAAATTCATGGTTAACATGACCCTAGCACCTTTTGCTAAAAACACAACAGGTTCTAACCCAGACATATCATCTGAGGATATCTTTTTGGCCAATGCAGATGAATGGCGTGCATTAATATGAGCAATTGGATGCTCAAGTTTTGTTAGCTGCTCATGGTTGTAATTACCAACTTGTTCATTACTATAAAAGAGTCTAGTAGAATCTTCAAAGTCACATAAATTAGTGACATTTGATGGTTGGCGTGTCAGAAGTAATTTCCAGTCATCAACAGTTGAGTCGCCTTTGCGAAGTCGCAATAACAAATCTCTGAACTGTACTTGCTCAGATGTCATACCTTGCACACGTTGATTTACAGTGAGTTTGACAACTTTGTCAAACATATGATATGCTTGATGACCTTGTTCACCAATAGCATTTGATGGTTTAGCATGGTAAAGAGGTTTATCTGCTACTGGTGGCAATTGACCTGGATCACCAGTTAAAATCAATGATCTTCCTCCAAATACTTTGTCATTATAACCAGTTGCTTGTTTGCAACGCTTGTCTATCCAACCAAAAGTAACTTGGCCAAGCATGGAGTATTCATCAATAATGATGTATCCAATGTTATCAACACTCTCTTGTAACCTACACAAGCTTTGTCCTGTCAGGTCTTTTTTACCTCTTGATCCTATAGGTAACTTTAATAGAGAATGCACAGTTACACCTCTAATATTATAAGCTGCTTTACCTGTGGTAGCAGTAACAGCACATTTACTTTGCAAAAGATTTCTAATAGCATTAATAAGGTAACTTTTACCAGTTCCTGCAACACCATTTATAATGAGACATAATGGTTCTTTCTCAGATGACGTATCATCAAAATGAGACTTAACAATGTCATAAGCAAGTTTTTGCATTTCGCTAAAACTGTTGATGTCAACAACATCACATTGCTCATCAACAGTGTATTCCTCTTTGTTTATTTTTATCCATGTTGGCATTTCTTGAATTTGTTGTTCTGAATAATTGGCTCTGTCAAGATGCCAGTCACATGTGGACTCTGGTGTTTGTTCAGAGTTGTCAAAAGGAGTGTTGAGGTCTGATAATATCATCCACTCTTTTCGAGTTGTCTTTTGTTCTTCAGGTTCATCTTCTGCTTCCTGACTTTCAATGACAGTTTGTAATTTATCAAACCAGTCTGGGACATTAGACTGACCATAAGGTGTTTGTAAAAATTCATGCCAACAATTGATCAGAACCTCGTCAGTTGGTTCTTGGTTACCCCATGCATTATTTTGGGTTGCTCTCCACGGTTTATACCTCAAAAGTTGATATTTACAATAAAGACCAAAATTTGGACCTTTGGGATTAGGAGAATATGTTGGAAATATTCGTGGTATAATGTTCTCTGGCAATTTTATCAGTTCATTGTTAACAACTTTGTAAGTTGTAGCAAATTGAACAAAGTTCATATTTATTATATTTTGTGAACTGTCATATTGTTCACGATTAGCATACACATCAAGAAGTGAATAATCGGTGCACTTCACCCTCGTCATTACTTGCAGTATCACGCACTCTACGTGAACCATTTAGGCTAACTGACATCACTTTAAAGGATGAGCTGTGGAGTTTTAATGACAACAAATGATGCATTGTCTCTTGAGCGGCATAATCTCTTTCACCAAGAGATTTCATAACTACCTTCTTAATAACTCTATGAGGGTCAGTATTACTGTCAACATTTTGAACAATAGAATTGAATGCCTGTTTCAATATAGGTGATCTTGGCTCACCTTTAGCTGCATATTTTGTGAGATATTCAACACAAGCATAGTGATCAATAACAACTTGAATATCACAGTTAGCTCTCCATCCTTGTAGCTGAAGTTGTTGATGGTTATTTAATCTAGGGTCATTTCGTTTAGTCACAATCTTAGCTCGATAATGCTCATTATCACCTGAGGTATGAATTTTTTCAAATTCTAATTTTGTCTTAGGACAAATATCAAAAGGGAAGTGAAATCTACATTTCAACTCTGTTTCATTTGACTTCTTTCTAAGACAATAACTTGTACTACAACGAGTGTGTCGTTGAACCATGTTTAGTAGATCTACATAATCTGATTGTTTTTCATGTTCAAGAATGTCGTGATGACTTTTTTGACATGGATGAACCTCAGGTCTGATCCACATATCCTCATCTGGTGGATTAGGATTGACGGTTGATAATAACCAATCAACATACTGACATACTGTGTCAGCTGCTTTCTGACCAGCTTCAATATCCTGGTCCAGTTCAGTTGTGTCAGAACAATCATTTTCATTTTTAAATTTTTGAGCTAAAAAACCTTTCAAAGCAGTCTGAGTAAGTTGACACAAGCCTGGGTCATTATGTAGTTTTGCAGTACCATGACAATGGATACTACCTCTACCTTGGTATTCATATCTAAACCAGTGCCATTTTGCACCAAGTGTATCATAAAGCCAGTGTTTTACAAACTTTTCTAGTCTCTGTGTAAAGAACCAATCAACTATATGTGGATTGTTAATAACATTTTGTCTCCTTGCCTCACTAGTGGCATTACCAGTGTTTGCTCCAAAGAGAGCATGCAATTCAGGCCAGTGCATATCTGCTGATGAGAAAGTAAAGAACAATGTTGGTGCTCCAACATTAGTTATTATAGCTTTGAGTTCCTCTCTCACTTTATTCCAGTAAGCATTAGTACCTGCAATATTGCCAATGTATCTGGACACTTTGGACATCAGTAAAGTGGAGTTGTCACTTGCAGCCATTTCGCGTAGCTCATCAATAGTGAGGTGTGCTTCACCTGGATTTTGTTTAATGAATATTCCACTTTGTTGTAGAATACGCTTTCTGTGAATCATATTAAATGCCCAGTATGAAAATCTAGGGTGATTGGCAAAACGGTATACCCATTTACCATCAATAAATTCAGCAAATTTCAAAAGATGCTTAATTCTTTCTTGAAGAGGAACATTTCTCAAGATACTTTGATTAGTGGGATCACCTTTCCCATCAGGAAATAATGTTGGAAAAGCCATAGTGGCCAGATATGATATCTGATATTCATTCAATGGTTCACTTTCAATAGTGGGCCATGTCATTGGTTCATTTGCAGAAAGCTGATTTCTAACTGCTTCTATTTCTTGTTCCTGCTGTTCACCGACAGGCAAGAAACTATTCATGTCTGTCAAGTTGGTATAAACTATATCTTCAGAAGGGTTTTCAGTGGGTGGACCTAAATCTGACATAACATCATCTGCTGGAATGCCATTTTCAGGTAAAGAGTTTAATGCATCTTCATTAATTTCTAATTCAGCATAATGAGGATTATTTTGCACAACCCATAATAATGCATTATGTACTTTTTCTCTTCTCACAGAAACATCTCTAAATGAGTTATCTTTACCTTTGACCTTGACAATAATCACTGACAAATCTTTTGGATATCTTGGCAATGATGATGCAAGTTCCTTAACATTTTGTGGCAAATTAACACAATGACCCGAGTAACCTCGTTGTCCACCGGGCTTAATGTAAACTCTCATGATAGGAAGAGCACGAGCATTCAACATTTCCTCTACTTGCGTTAAATTTTGTAACTCGGTTGGGACCGGAGAAGGAATCATTGCATTTTCGAAAACTTTCTAGGAGATTTTGTGTCTCGAGCACATCGAAAACATATATAACAATCAGGTGACCTTGGTTTAGAGTTCAGTGGCCATGCTTCTTGACATATAGTGCATTGATTAATAAAGAATTCAATAGATTTAGAAAATTTATTAATGTTATTTTTTGCCCAACTCTGTTCATAAATACTACCATCTTTTTCAATGTCAAATTTGTTTAAATAATCCTGCTGACTTAGAATTTGAGTAGAAGCACACAAACGTTTTCTCTTGTTCTGATTAGCACTGGCAACTATAGTTTGCTTTTCAATCTCACTTTCCTGTCCTCGTTTTCTTTTTTCGTAATTTCTAACATTTTTAGTTTCTGAAGCTTGTTTTGCTTTTCGATACTCACTAGCACTTTCAAGTCTAGTTTGTTTCTCATGTGCAGTTTCTGAAGCTCGTTTTGCTTTTCGATACTCCCTGGCATTTTTAAGTCTAGTTTGTTTCTGATCTTCAGTTTCTAAAGCTTGTTTTGTTTTTTGATACTCCCAAGCATTTTCAAGTCTAGTTTGTTTCTCAGTCTCAGTTTCTGAAGCTCGTTTTGCTTTTCGATACTTCCTAGCATTTTCAAGTCTAGTTTGCCTCTCAGTTTCAGTCTCTGCTGTTTGCTTTGCTTTTTTATACTTTCTAGCATTTTCCAGTCTGCTTTGTTTCTGACTCTCAGTTTCTTCTGAACATTTTTGTTTTACATGCTCTTTTGCAATTTCACTTGAAGCAAGTCCACTTACTTGTGTTATATCACAATTTAACTGAACAGTTACTCCTTTAACTTCAAAGGGTGTTTCATTACCTGGAGGTACAGTACTCTGGAAATATATCACCAGGCTTTCTATACTATCAACAGATGCTAATATGCATTTTCCAAAAGGGTGTGGAATCCCATATAAATCTCTTGAATGAGAATCAAATACTTTAAAGATTCCTTCACAAGTCTTAAAAATTGCAACAGTATTAGAACCAATAGTCAACATACAATGTTGATAATTTAAATGAGTTTCCATGAACAGATTATTAAGAGCATTCTCTATAGAATAATAAGGTAGAGCAGTATTTGCCATGAATAAGTCCCCAGCAAACGGGTCACCATATTGCATACAATAAATGCCATCAAAAACCGAAACCATTTCAAGCACGTCAGTCAAAAGCAAATAGCTTTTGTTAACAGAATTGCTTATAAAAGAATAAAGGTTATTTCCAGCACACAGTATTGAATTTAATACAGTTGAATCCCATGTATTTGCATTTGTGATATAATTATATATTATCGCAGTCAAAGACATTGCTAAACATTGTTTACCAGCATTTTGTCGAAACTTTTTTGTATTTCCCTGGCTAAAATCTGCACATATTGTTTTAGTTGGATCAACCACATCATATATTGTGGGTCCAGGATTTTCCTCTACATCATTTGCCATTCTCAACAACAATGGAACATACACAATATAGCCTGACATTTGAGGGAATAACACTATCACTTGATTAAAACATTTTAATTAAGTAAAATGATCTGCTTATTTTGTGTAGCATTAGCACAATGGCAATGGCTTGCTGATTTAACTGTATGGCAGTGGCACAATGGCTTGCCGATTTTGTTTGTAGCAGTGGCACAATGGCTTGCTGATTTAATATTTGTGTGGCAGTGGCACAATGGCTTGCCGATTTTGTTTGTAGCAGTGGCACAATGGCTTGCTGATTTAATATTGTGTGGCAGTGGCACAATGGCTTGCCGATATTGTTTGTAGCAGTGGCACAATGGCTTGCTGATTTGATTGTGTGGCAGTGGCACAATGGCTTGCCGATATTGTTTGTAGCAGTGGCACAATGGCTTGCTGATTTGATTGTGTGGCAGTGGCACAATGGCTTGCCGATTTTGTGTGTAGCAGTGGCACAATGGCTTGCTGATTTGATTGTGTGGCAGTGGCACAATGGCTTGCCGATTTTGTTTGTAACAGTGGCATATATGAAGAGTTGTACGGTACCTAAAAATTTAATAAAAATACAGATTACAGTTGATTCATTCGCTTCAATGGGTAAAATAATTCGACAAAAATACGTTGTTACTTGTAATCAAACCTTCATCTTACCTTCAATATTTTCGATAAACAGCCAGACGTAAAATAATATTTCGATAAACAGCCAGACATAAAATTTGCAGCAAGCTGGAATCAAAATTTACAACAGCACGAGGTGATGTTATTTACAAATCGTAATAGTCCATGGTGGTGTTCGTGAGTCTCAACCCGGGTACTCGGAAAGTCAAATCGCGATCTGGAGTATGTTATTTTTTAAAATTTCTGTGACGTCAAAATACGTCATAAATCTGATCATCCGTACATTCGTACATGCAAATAAAATCGAGTTGTCGCTCGGCTATACATAACTCGGCCAACCGGAAACGGACTGGTGTGAGAAAAACACATCGTCAAGAATAGGTGGCTGCCTACGGCAGCAACAAGTTCAACATTGAGTTGGGGGTGCGGGGGTTTAAGAATGGCAACATGATTCAACATGGAGTTTATCATAAAAATACGCGAATTGTCTATAGGGGGAAAATAGTCTCAACCAGTTATGTCCAAGATTGTCTGAATCTGGGAATTTTACGTGCATACCAGTTGTGTGAGAGTTGTGGTTAGAAAGGCAGATATGTTAGTGTTGCGATGGAGGAAAATTTATTAAATATATGTTACACTGCAAATACTGTAGATAACCGAAATTTTAACCATATTACCAATCATTCCAGGCGATGCAAAATTTACTAGAAAATACATGCATGCAGAAACCCTTGCGTTGCTGACAAAACCATTGTATTTTCCGAACATGAAGTATCTAAAGTAGTTGCCATGGTAATACGATAATTTTTTAAGGATATTCGGTAATCGTTCAGAAGTAATCGTTCTTACAAATGAAAAATTGCTTAAAAATATCACTTTTAATTACAAAATTATCAATTTCCCAACATACATATGTTAGGTATGATATTATACGTAATATAAGCTTCAATTTAAGGTAAAATTCAACCACAAACGCTTCGTAAAACGTTTTAAAGTGTTCTTTATAAAACTAAACTGCCTTTAATGAAATGGCTTCATCGATAAACTTTGAGTTTGCAATAAAATGATTTCAAATTCTGGCATGCAAATAACTTTGCTTTCTTTTTTATTTAAAAAAATTCAATATAATAAAAAAGGGAAACAATATTAAAGATACACTGAATTGGGGCCCGATATGCTGTCTTGTTTAGTTGTTTCATATATACAAAAGCAGTCGGGTTTTAAAGCAATTATAAAATCAATATTTAAAACAAACGTACCTTCGTTAACGTCGGCTCCCTTCTTTTAGCCGATTCTTTCGCCATTTCTTTCTTGAAATTTACAAAATCTTGCAAAAATGCGAGGAAAAATGAAATATATTTGCAAGAAATTCATCAATCATCAAATAAAGAAATGTTTTCTATTTCGCTGTCGTCATGTAGTCGTTATAATGCACTTTTTATAATAAACTTTAAATTGGACCAATCACAGTGTTTGCTATTCATGACAGTCCGCTATATTTTTGAGATCAGTAAGGATGACCACCCACGCACAGTGACCCACGCCCGCGATATTTGATGAACTTTAGACTTTCCTAATGCTTTCGTTTCCCCGGGTGTAAATAGCCGGGGGGAATTAGTACCCTCATACGGCGCTTCGCGCCGCCGGCTCGGGGATTATTGTACTGTAAGTAAAGGAAAATTAATTAAAGAAGACATATATACACGTCTGGATGAAAGTAAACTACTTATTGGACTTTTGGTAAACTCCATTTCTACCTTATTCCATATCATCATTGAAAGCTTAGAATAATGAATGTAAAAACATATCCAACACTTAGCCAAATTGGTCAAACGTGATAACATGGTTTGCTCAGAAAATGACTATTCACTTAACGTGCGAACGTTCTCTGGTCTATTTGAACCAATTAGCCACTGTTATAGAACATAGCTACAAAGTTGAAAAAGAAATGGAATCATGGACATGCGAAACGTTGTCTACACAGCTACTTTCATATAGGCAATCGGCACGTTTCACAGGTTATTCTAGTATGGCGACCCCCCACGATGAACAAAGGGTTGCAGTACAATGTTTAAATTGACCATAGTAAAGAAATGCGAGTATATCGCCATGATTTTTGGAGGATAAACGTTTTATAATAATATATAAGTACATTTCAAGCGATTAACGAAAAGATTTGATGTGATATCAACGGTAAACGGGGATAGCAGTAAGATTTTATAGTAAATGATAGGTCTAGTCATTGTTAAAAATTGGAGTCGCCGTTTATTGTTGTAATGGCCTGTTTACCGTTCTTTTATCAAACCACGATAAAGATTATACTTGGTTAACCGTCATATAAAAAATTTTGGTTAAATTATAAATTTTAAAAGCAAGTTTGAGGCTCATAAACTATAGAACAAATCACGTCATCTTATACAAAATACCTACGTGATATTTACATAATTGAATTAAATCCCAATGCATGTGTCTCGACCTTTATGCCATAGTAACATGATATTACTCGCTAATTCTGGCAGTACAAAACTATATACTTTAGATGTAACAAAAAGAAAAATTCATGCGTTTCATGCGTATATTTTAGGATGTGACAAGTTCAAATAGGCAATATATTGCTTGCTTTTCATGCAAACAAATATACATATTGCTCGAAAAACAAGTATTGATATGTATATCCATCTTTCAGACTACTGGAGTGGAAGAAAATTAAAAAAGATTGAGTTATCAAGCATAATTAAATTCAGTGTGTTTCAGACAATCTTGGACAAAACCGCTGAGACCATTCTAGCTAATATTACAAAGTTATTGAACATTGACAAAACAAAAACTTTGTCTCCCCCTCCCCCCCCCCCCCAGTTCAATGTTGTGAACAACGCCGAAACAACTTTTGTAATATACAATGATACAAGTTCAACATTGAGTTGGGGGTGAGGGGGGTTACGAATGACAACATGATTCAACATGGAGTTAATCATAAAAATACGCGAATTTTCTATAGGGGGAAAATAGTCTCAACCAGTTATGTCCAAGATTGTGGCAAGATT